GATTAGGGCCCGGAACTTTTGTAACGGTACGATACGATTTACCCCCTCCACTTGTTCTCCTAGAAAATGATCGGTTGTTATTGACGACCGACGATCGGTTTTTTATTGCGCATCAATGTCAACATTGTCAACTGTCAGTACGATTTCACTGTTGTCCAAATGTGCAGTATTCGACGCTTTTCATCCGCATAATTTCGTCAAATTTGCTATTTATCTTTCTTTAGTTACCTTTAATTGGAAGTTGGAGTTCTGTTTGAGTTCGTATTATTGTTTTTTTTAAGAATTGTTTTTAGTTTCCCTTTGTGGTAAAATTGTTGTTCGGATTTGAGAATTGTTCAACAAATTGCCGAAAACAATATACCTTTAACTCTTAAGGAAAAATATGGTTCAATAGCTCAGTATTTTATTTATGCTCCATTTACAAGTTGTGGTGTTGAAAGATTATTTTCTAGGTACAAACTCATTTTAACGTCAACTAGAACGTCATTTACAGAAGAAAATTTAGGGATGGTTGTTTCAATATGCGTTAACAGCAATTTTTTTATATCCGTATCCGATTTGTGATTGATATTACAAATCGGATCATGTTTTTTTGAATTAAAGTTATAAAATATATTTTTTTTTAATATTTTCAAATCGTACTGACAGTTGACACTGACGTGTAATAAACCGGTCGTCAACAACAACCGATGAGGTGAGTTGACTTGACGCCACCGACTTGTATTCTAGGAGAACAAGTGGTGGGGGTAAATCGTATCGTTCCGTTACAAAAGTTCCGTGCCCTAGTGATGATACTCTTAATTTTTTAAATGCTGATGGAATGTCATTATATACCTGCTGAACCGTATAGGAAAATGATCGCGTATATAGAGTTAACCTATGTTTCGGTATAACAAGACGTGATTTCCTCCTAATGTTCACATTATGAACGTCCGTGCGATGCCTAATTCTGCTATGCAAGTAAGATGGCCTTCCACTGCAGAGCAGTTTGTGTATTAAACAAGCCGTATGTAGTCGCCTCCTGTTAGCCATGTTCAACCAGTTAGCCATAGACAAGGTATTTGAGATCTTCGCGTACTTCCTAACCCCATATATGTATCGCAGACATGAGTTTTAAATTAACTGAACTCTCCTCGATGTTGCTACAGTCAAGCAAGGTCCATAAAGTACATCGCAAAAGTTAAAATTTGATAATATTAATGCTTCACATAACATCTTTTTTATATCGCGCGGCAACAAACCGCGAGCAGGATACAGCGCTTTGAGTCCTACCACAGACTTCCTAATCAGACCGCTGACGTGAGCATCAAATCGCAGAGCAGGATCAAGCACCACTTCCAGACTCTTAGCCTCAGATCCCATCTGGAGCACGGTACTGTTAATGGAGATTTTACCATAGAGGTTATTTGCAATAGCCTCTCTCCTGCCACTAGGCCCGAACAACAAAATTTGAGATTTGCTAGGATTAAGGTTTAAACAATGCTTAAAGGCCCTATCCGTAATTATACGTAGGTTATCATTGAGCATGCCAACCACGCTTGAAGTATCTTTGAGACTGAAAGTATGATATATTTGAGAGTCATCTGCATATAAATGGTAATTACCGGTTATATTCCGGAAAAGTTGAGATGTATATATGATAAAAAGAAGCGGTCCATATATACTCCCCTGAGGTACTCCCCTAGAAACTCCAAATTCACCGTCAAAATCAATTACCGTATTACCACTATAAAAATTCTTTATAACATTAACACTTGGTTGACAAAAAGATCAATTTATCGGCAGAGGCGATGTTTTCAAAAAGACCCAACCGTCAATGTATGTATGAATTAAGATAAATAATTAATATGCCAACTATGGGAAAAAAACAAAAACAAAAAATATAAGTCTGCATACAATTCTGTGGGTATATTATTCCACAGAGTTATAGTTTGCACAGTGAACTTGAGTGAGACATCAGACTGTGCTCTAGTACGGAGACCGCGAGATGCCATGGACTAAAATGCAGTGAACAGGTAAATTGGAGGTTGAGAGGAAAGTATCTTGTATAATGTATGTAATTAAAATGCGTAAGGATTTACGCTTCTCAACGGTAAGCATCTTGAGATAATTACGATATGGTGTAACATGGTCATACTTTCTAAGGTCGAAAATAAAGCGCAGACAATTATTTTGTAACCTCTCTAATTTGTTACGGAGACTAATCGGGAGGTCTGAGTTCACGACATCGGCATAGTCAAATAGAAGAGAATTAAAGAGTAGCAGAGGTTGCGACGAACAATAGGTGGAAGGAAACAGCCAAGTTTGCGTAGGGAGTAGACAGAAATAAACCTTCCTGCAGACAGACTCAACCTGGGGCTGCTAGGACAATGCAGAATCCATCATCACCGCCAAGCTTTTAACTGTTTGGTAGAATTGTATGATGTTACCATCAAGTGTCAGATGGGTGTTATTGATGGAGTAAAATTTGGTTAGCAATGGTCTTGATCCGAAAGCAATAGCTTGAGTCTCTGCTATATTCAAATTCAAGCCATAGCATCTAAACCAGTCTAGAACACTAGTAAGATCCNGGAGGTGAACTTTACTATAATGGCCTTAGCGCGCGACTTGTCTTTTCCTGGAGATGGTCTTTGAGGCAAGCGATGAACTGCATCTATATCGGAAGCCACAATAGGAGATTTGATAGCTTCCGCAATGTTGGACACAATTTCGGGAAGATTTTCTCCTACATGTTCGGGAACTCCCGCGATGATCAGATTATTGAGCCGCGAATACTGCTCGAGGTGATCAAGTTTAGAATTTACAGCGACCAGCGCGTCGACTTGCTTAATCTTATCACCGAAATTGTTGAGGGCTCGCTCGAAATCAGTGATTTTGTCGCCGTAGAAGGAAATTGACTTAACAATCTCGTCGTATTTGTTTGATAAATTTTTTACATCATTCTGAATAGATGATAAGAGACGGTACAGTTGAGCATTGCTAGGGCCACTAGATGACTGGAAATCAGAGATTTCATCGTCAATTATGACGGATTTATCCAAATTTCCTCGACATTTGGAACACTTAACCCGATATTTTCTAATTCTAGGTCTACTGTTAGTTCTAGTTTTAATTATTATTAAGCGCTAAATTGTTTATTTTTACTGAAATAAAAGTAGAACTAACACTAGACCTAGAACTAGAAACATTTGGATTTAGCCCCACGTCTGTCAAGACGGCTAAACCCGAATGATTCTAGTTTTAGGTCTTGTGTTAGTTCTAGTGATAGTGCTAGTGTAAAACTAGAACTAACACTAGACCGAGAAAGAACTAGAAACATTCGGATTTAGCCACACGTCTGTCAAGACGGCTAAATCCGAATGATTCTAGTTCTAGGTCTTGTGTTACTTCTAGTGATAGTGCTAGTGTAAAAAAGAACTAACACTAGACCGAGAACTAGAAACATTCGAGTTTAGCCACACGTCTCTCAAGACGGCTAAACCCGAATGGTTCTAGTTCTAGGTCTTGTGTTCTAATAACAATAACTTAATCGCCACTGAGATTTACAATAATAATAGAAAAATATACATATTCTTTATAACATTAACACATGGTTGACAAAAAGGTCAATTTATCGCCAGAGGCGATGTTTTGAAAAAGACAAAATCAAAAAATATAAGTCTGCATGCAATTCTGTGGGTAAATTATTCCACAGAGTTATAGCTTGCACAGTGAATGATCTGTGATATATTTTAGTACTATGAACGAGAAACTTGAGTGAGACATCAGACTGTGCTCTAGTAGGGAGACCGCGAGATGCCATAGACTAAAGTGTAGTGAACAGGTAAATTGGAGATTGAGAGGAAAGTATCTTGTATAATGTAGGTAGTTAAAATAATTACGATATGGTGTAACATGGACATACTTTCTCAGGTCGAAAATAAAGCGGAGACAATTATTTTGTAACCTCTCTAATTTGTTACGGAGATTAATCGAGAGGTCTGGGTACACGGCATCGGCATAGTTCAAATGGGGGAGAATTAAAGAGTAACAGAGGTTGCGACGAATAATAGGTGGAACAACCAAGTTTGCAAGAAAGTTTGGAGTAGAAACAGAAATAAACCTTACTGCAGACAGACTCAATCTGGGGCTGCTAGGACAATGCAGAATCCATCATCACCGCCAAGCTTTTAACTGTTTGGTAGAATTGTATGATGTTACCATCAAGTGTCAGATGGGTGTTATTGATGGAGTAAAATTTGGTTAGCAATGGTCTTGATCCGAAAGCAATAGCTTGAGTCTCTGCTATATTCAAATTCAAGCCATAGCATCTAAACCAGTCTAGAACACTAGTAAGATCCCTATTAAGCCGCATTACCGCTGCTGGAAGTTCATCCACAGCTACAGATGTATAAATTTAGAGGTCGTCTGCATATTGGTGAAAGTTGCACTTAATTATCTTAGTAATGCAATTGATGAAGACAGAAAAAAGAAGTGAACCCAAAACACTGCCCTGAGACACACCGCAACGGCTTGTAAATACAGACGAGGAAGATGAACGCAAGGCATGATTAGAAAGGTATGATTGAAACCAAGCGATACAGCTCGGCGAAAAACCTACAGAAGATAGAATTGTCATCAACAAGCTATGATCAACAATAAGGTCAAACGCCGGTCATCACAACCAGGTCTAATATCATCAGTCATCAGTAATTTTGATAAGTACCGGTGTCGTGCTATGACCTGGCCGGAAACCAGATTGAAAATCAGTGATAATCAAAATACCGCTGTGCCTGCGTATACACCAAGCGCTCAAGTACCAGTACCAGCACTAGTGGAACGAGAATGTCTAAAAACCTGGCGGACTTGGAATTCGTCAAACAACTCCAAGGAAAACCTGGAACTAATATTAGCGGAGCCAGTAATGGCGAGAATTGTTGATACCTTAATTGAATCGTCGAGTGAGGGAGATTCGGCAAAATAACTAGCCAGAGAATCACTATCAAAACCATGGTAAGAAGGAGATTCAACTACACCAAGAGAAAGCATGGTTTTCCAGAAAGCATTGGACGTAGCATTGGAAATTTCCGATAAATATACAATTTTTTTAAATTCTTACAACGGTGGTTGCAGCGGTTACGTAAAGCAACGTAGCTTTCTCAATTAGCATTGATCGGATATTCTTCTCAACCCGAATCTTGCAAAAAAATCAGCAAAACCTGGTTTTCAGAGAATTACAAATTGACAAAGATGTTTTTTTCCCGCTTTGCTGTTCTAAATAATAAGGAATGTGATACAACCCAAATTAAACTGATCAGAAATTCTGTTCAACACAAATCTTGCAAAAAAAATCCTGCAAAACCTGGTTTCCAGAAAAATACAAATTGAAAAAATATTTTTTTTCCTTATTTGCTGATTTAAATAACAAGGAATGCGTTGCAATTCAAATGAAGTTGATCAGAAACACTGTTCAACCCAAAAATTGCAAAAATTCCTCAAAAACCAGTGTCTTCTGCGCCTAAGTTTCCTTATGCTGCTTTGACTATTCATCCAATGAACTTTAGTGTGATTCTTTGTTTTCTGATGTTTGGGATCAATTGTACAAGATAAATAGAGGTTCGTCCAGTGACGTTGTTTTAACGTCAGCGCTGGCTGGTGGTCTAGCAGGATCTGGAACAACACTTTTTGTATGATAAGTTTGTATTCCTGGTCGAGTTTGAACATCAAAGATGTTATTTACTTTTATAATAATAATTAAATAATTTATAACTGTGCTGCAGCTCTTTCCATTCCTCTTATGAAAATTTTTAATTTGTCCATCACTACTGGAGTCTTTCCCTTGGCGTGGAAACGCGCGAATATTGTACCGGTCTACAAATCTGGTCAAGAACTGCCGTCCAATTTCTATTTTGCCCTTAATTGGAAAGGTATTTGAAAGGTTGAAGTAACACGGTATTTATCCTGCCCGCTCTGTCGAGACGAACATGCTCGAGTATGTTGACGTTCTGTACTTTTCCATGGACAACAACATCCAAGTAGACGCGGTATACACGGACTTTAGCAAAGCATTTGACAAGTTAGATCATAACTTGTTATGCGATAAATTGTATCGCGCTGGTGTTACTGCATATTTGCTGGACTGATTTACCTCTTACGTCTCGGGACGGACTCTTGTCGTGCGGTTTGGTGGATTTTGTTCACGTGCCTTGTCAATCTCTTCTGGTGTACCTCAAGGCAGCCACCTGGGGCCTCTGTTGTTCCTTCTTTACATTAACGACATCTTTGGCTCCTTTTCCCATTGCCGCTTGCTCATGTATGCTGACTTAAATTCCTTCTCCCTATTTATAGTATAAATGATTGCGCCAAATTGCAGAGTGACTTTGACGATCTATGCAGGTTCTGTTCTGATGACTGTCTTGTTTTAAATATCTCTAAGACCTAGAACTGGAATCATTCGGGTTTAGCCGTCTTATGAGACGTGCGGCTAAACCCAAATGTTTCTAGTTCTAGGTCTAGTGTTAGTTCTAGTTTTAGTGCAATTAAAATATGCAACATAGTGATATTTTATGCTAACTAGCGTTACCTACCACTATTACTAAAACCAACATTACACCTAGAACTAGAAACATTCCCATTCTAGGTGACACAAATTATATTGACATGTTGCATTTTATGTTGCTCAAAGTAAGTAGGTACGCCCTAGTTTCTATCGAAATATGTTTTTATATATTGCATCTTAAGTGAAATTCACTGTATGTTATCTTAATGTGCCATAATGAAATTAAAATACACTAATTTCAATTTTATTTATAGGAAATGGGTATTTCTTTTAAACCGAAAAATGATATTATTTTCCCGCAAGGCAAATTTAACCAATATGAATCTCATAAAGTTATTATTACTCATGTTGAATCTCTTTCCGAAATTTATTTAATTATGGTGAGTTTATTATTAAGTTTATATTCATTTATTAACATTTAGTTTTAGGCGGAATCTCATAGACCGTTTAATGATTTAAAAAAAGAAATGAATAAGACCTATTTAGGTGCTAAAAAGGGATTTGTTTATTCCATGGAAGTTGGTAAGTTTTTATATTTAATTATAAAACGATTACACAATTAATTTTGATTTTTCTTTAGGAATGTACGTTGCGGTGTCGATTATAGAAAAAGAATCAATAGTGAATTGGTACCGAGCAAAAATCACCCAAGCGCCAGAATCTCGTAGCACAGTAATCGTGAAATTGATCGATGTTGGTGTAACCGTAGCGATTCAATGGGAAAACATAAGGAAATTAAATGATACTTTCTACAAAACGAACGCATTGGCTTTTCAAGTTGCGTTAATCGACGTAAACAATTTCACCGATGATAATACGTCGACTGAGAAAATCACCAAGTTCTTCCAACGTTATGTACAAAAAGGAATTGTTTTAGAAATGATTGTCCAGGAAAATGACGTCGTACCTAAAATTGTTTTGGTCGAAACTTCCGATGACACCAAATTTTGCGTTAATGGAAAGCTGGTTGCTGAAGATTGTGCAGTAGGAACTGGAAAATAGTAAGTCTATAAATAATAAGATTATAGTACAGGGTCTGTTACGACGAGCTGAGTCTATATGTAGAAAAACACTGGTACTATTTTTGTGAAAATTTGCATATAGGGTTTATATTTTTCAGTTTGTATTTTCAGTTTTCTCCAACTTCCGGTTATACCGGAAATGGACTCCAACTTCGTTATTTTAAATTAAATGTACGAGATCCTCGATAAATTTTAATATAATTTGATATAAGTCGTCATATGTCTAGAGTGCACCATTTTTGAATTATTTTAGTTTTTTCGAAAACTTTGACAGATGCAGCACTTCACAATGGGCGCGTTCACCAGAGAATTCCGTTTACGTTGGCAAATGCAAACGGGTTACATTTGCGGTGGTGATTTGGTGAACGGCCAATTTTTCTATAGACATATGGTTTGATAACAACAGATGGCGCTTTAATGACATTTATTTATAATTTTAATTAATTTATAGGTACATATCGTTCAATTTATCATGAAATTCTTCATTTTCAAAGATAGTATACACTAACCCATTAAATAAATAATTTCGGGCTTCTGCCATTCTTTTTTGTTGATTTTAAATTTAATATGACACAAATACCAAACACCATTTGCGATTGCTAACGGAAAAATCATACCATTGATAAAATGGCGGCCGTTTACCAAACACGTTTGAAGTTAGGGTTGCCAACAGTTTGGTCTCCGTTTGGAAACGTTGACAGTTGGTGAACGCGCTCAATAAAAATAAGTTTTCAATTTTTTCCTTCACCAGCGTATTGTACGCTGAAAAATAAGGAAACTTTGTCATCCCTATATTTAAAATGTACAGTGTGGTAATTAATTATCGTACTCAACGTCATCATTGCAAGTATGCAACCAATATCACAGTATTGATATTGGCATACTTGCAATGATGACGTCGGGTACGATAATTAATTAATACAGTGTATGGTTTTCGTGGAAATTTAAACAATAGTTATTTGTATTATAAGTAATACAAATAACTATTGTATAAGTAATCATGCCTACTAAACGATAAAACAAAAATGTCTACGTCAGGACAATNTATTAATGTCAAAAATGACATCTTAAAGATTAAGTTTACAATTTTCTTACAGTTTGACATTCCAAATGATATGTCAACCTCAATTTTTGCTACCAATTGACGTTCTAACTGTCAAATTTAATGATTTTTGCATCACAAAAATATTTTAATGTCAAAAGTAACATTTAAATGACATCTTAAAGATTAAGTTTACAATTTGGTTACAGTTTGACATACTAAATGATATCTACTCCTACTTTTCTATAACCAATTGACGTTCTAACTGTCAAATTTGATCATTTTTCATCACAAAAATATTAATGTCAAAAGTGACATCTTAAAGATTAAGTTTACAATTTTCTTACAGTTTGACATTCCAAATCATATATGTCAACCTCAATTTTTGCTACCAATTGACGTTCTAACTGTCAAATTTAATGATTTTGGATCACGAAAAGATTTTAATGTCAAAAATGACATTTAAATTACATTTTAAAGATTAAGTTTATAATTTTCTTACAGTTTGACATACTAAATGACATCTATTCCTTCTTTTCTGCAACCAATTGACATTCTAACTGTCAAATTTGATCATGTTTCATCACAAAAAAATATTAATGTCAAAAACGACATCTTAAAGATTAAGTTTACAATTTTCAAACATTTTGACATTCCAAATGATATGTCAACCTCAATTTTTGCTACCAATTGACGTTCTAACTGTCAAATTTAACGATTTTACATCACGAAAAGATTTTAATGACATTTAAATGACATCTTAAAGATTAAGTTTACAATTTTGTTACAGTTTGACATACTAAATGACATCTACTCCTTCTTTTCTGTAACCAATTGACGTTTTAACTGTCAAATTTGATCATTTTTCATTACAAAAAGATTTTAATGNATTATCATACTCAACGTCATCATTGCAAGTATGCAACCAATATCACAGTATTGATATTGGCATACTTGCAATGATGACGTCGGGTACGATAATTAATTAATACAGTGTATGGTTTTCGTGGAAACTTAAACAATAGTTATTTGTATTATAAGTAAAGAAAATATACTTTTTTCTTTACGAATCGCGAATTTTCTAATCGAGGCGAAGCCGAGATTAGAAACGCGATGAGTAAAGAAGAAGTTACTTTTACTAAGAATAATACATGAAGTTTTTTCGGACACTCAATTTAAATGAATTACCCACATTTTATAAGAAATGATTTAAAAAGTACACGACGAGCTCGAGAATCAAATTGTCGTTTCTGACGTTTCCCTCACTACAGCAACCAAATAAAAAAAATAAAGTAGTGATTGATTCATCAGGAGTTCATCAGGAGGTGTTATCAAAATCGTCACTAAGATGTGGTGATTACACACTAACAGTGTACATCAAGTATAAGCTTCTCTAATCTTAATAATTGTACGTTTAATATTTATTCTAATAAATAATTAATTGTTTATTTGGTTGCTATAAAGAAATGGTTGCTATAAAGAAATGAGGTACTTTTCTTTACGATTTGTAATAAGGAAATATAGGCCATTTCCAGTGAGTGTCCGAAAAAATTATTTTTTTTGATTATTAGTAAATTTAAAATTATATGAAACAAAAGCTATTGTATGTTAGAATGTAAGGAGATTAACATCAAAACGAAGGAGTTTGCTATGTTTGAAGATATAGCCCATGGGTGAGGTCTGCATTCAAAAATTCTCCTCAAAGCCTGATCTCCACACATTCTGTAACTTTTGTAATAGAATAAAACTTATAACAGCAGAAGAGAAATGAAAGTACTATATAGGGTGTTTCACTTAAAACTCCCAAGTCAAGTATCTCTGAAATGGGTTGAGATATTCTAAGTAGTTTTGTAAGAAGTTGTTGTTAGTCTTCGTAAATTACTTCAATTCTTACGTATTCTTATTATTCATTGTACAAAAATAAAGGTGGCGCTGCAGGCAAAGGAAACTTTCCCTTCGAAACAAAGTTTTTATTAGGTGCAAGCAGTGTTGCCACACAGAGAACTCTGTAGGACCGTACTGGAAAACGAAAATTACCGTATTTTATATAAAAATACCGTACTTGTACTAAAAATGGTAGTGACACAAAAGGTTTTGCGAAATAAATGCTATAGAATTAACTGTGGAAGCAAATAGTTAAAAATTTATTTTACGTTAACAAAATAACTAATAGTTATTTACCATCTTGTTGAAACCACATCCATCTTTGTAGATATTAGTGGCACATCTAACAAAGTTGGTAAATTATTTTGGAAGAAATACAAATAGCATATGAAAGTATGAATTTTTTAAACAACGTGCAAAAAAAAGCAGGTAATCATATTTTTTATGAAACGAAAAATGGCAAGTGTTGTACCATTTGGAAATCTTGATTAAACAGGTCATCTTTTAAAATTACTTACCATGGGTGCTGTAGTACTCCTTTTTTAGAAATGGTGTGTCAAACATAATAGAGATAAATTTTGTCAATCTTAATTCAATTTGATTAATATTTTTTCCACAAAACTACCGACTTTTGTTGTTTGATCTGTAACTTCTCTAGTAGCATGGTTAATAAGGATTACATTATTAAAAAAATGAAAAGTATTGTCTATTATCACTTAATTAAGAAACATGGAATTTTTTTTCTTATTTTTACCAAAGTAGGTATTGGTTGGCTTCTCGCACGGTAACCGCGTGACGTTGAGTTTCGGGACACCTGTATGTATCGGGTCACAATTGGAATATTACATTAATAATAATAACAACTTTATTGACGATAATATCATTCATTCACATGATGATTTTCGTAGATCAGATACATACAATAATAATAACAACAACAGCAACAAACATTTCGTGTTTTTCATCACATTTGTCAAGAAACACTTTTCACTGAACGCAACTGACCAGGTAACAGTACAATCTCACGCGGGAGTACATTGAAAATTTCAACGGCAATACCATCAATATTCTTTTGACCCTTGCATAGTCTACTGAATTTAGGTATTAAGTGAAATTTATTTCTAGTTTCATAGCTGTGCATGTCGTTATGTGTCATAAAGCTAGTTAATTAACCGAGTTAAGTACCTTTCTGTTGAAGCAATTTTCTTCAGTCGCAGTCGAAGATCCTTTTTATTTCCAGAGAAATCTTTGAGAAGACTTTGGTAACATTTGTTTCGGTATCACTTAGCGTAAGTTTCATTTTTTTTTTTTAATTAAATTTGAACACAGAATCAAAAATAGACAATACAAGAACAAGAATATTATACGCCAATACCAATAGCTAATGAAAATATTGTGTACAATTAATGGCAATTTTTCTCATTGGTTATATTACAGTGGGGTTCCCCATATATTGATTGAACAGCATTTTACGCAACCTGTTACGACGCCATTCTGTGTATAGTAGGTATTTTCATAAATTAGATGACAGATTTCTAAATTACCGTACATTTAGTGGAATTATCGTACGTGTACGGTAATTACCGTACATTTGGCAACACTACTTAGGTGCAAGAGATAGCACAACGAAAACTGTACAACTTTTCTTATTAACGTTGATTCGAAAATCTTGGTAGTTTCGAAGATATTTAACATTAATACTGAAACTATTAAGAAAATAAGAGAAAGATGATACACACAGCAATATCCCGTTAGACTAATTCCAGACCGAAAAACGTTCATACATTTATTCACAAACCTTACCAGTTTTGGAACATTTAAGAAACTGAAACGATAGAGAGAAAAGCCAGTTTGAGATGATGAAAACTGCAATATTCTTCTGTTACATGTCATCGAATTTAAAAAAACAAATACATTTTTGCCGTATAAGTGCAATTTTGTTCATCATTTACAACTAGGCGATGATATCCTTTGACTTCAGTTCTTGGCTAAATTTTTGGCAACTTTCTCAACAACATTTTGTGATGCAACGAGAATCGTTTCCATAATAATGGAATAGTATCCAAGCAAAACAATCGATTTTGGTCTCAAACTAATCATAGTTGGACCGTACAAACAAATAATCAAACAACCTTATAATCAACAAGTCAACGTGGCCTGGAGTTGTTGCAGAACAACCTTCCTAAATTGCTGAATGTTTTCTGGACGCATTAAAAAAACTGATGTGGATTCAACAAGATGATGTAACTTTACATAACACTCAGTACCTGGACCGTAGGTTTTTTTTACAAATATTCCTGTAAGAGTATGTAATGTTGAATTAGTAAGACAATACGAATTTTGTATTTTTTTACTGTTCTGGTAAAAATAAGAAAAAAAATCTATGTCCCTTAGTTAAGTGGTAATAGACATATTTTTGAAAATATTAAAAATCGTTCCCGTACATCATGTATGTATGTATGTAGGAAAGCGGAGTGTATGCTACGCATACAGCACCTAGGTCCCAACGGGCCCCTTGTACGTCCTCCTACACTCTCTCCGGCTACATCAACCAGCTTAATGTCAAAAATGACATTTAAATGATATCTTAAAGATTAAGTTTATAATTTTCTTACAGTTTGACATACTAAATGACATCTATTCCTTCTTTTCTGCAACCAATTGACATTCTAACTGTCAAATTTGATCATTTTTCATCACAAACAAATATTAATGTCAAAAATGACATCTTAAAGATTAAGTTTACAATTTTCTTACAGTTTGACATTCCAAATGATATGTCAACCTCAATTTTTGCTACCAATTGACGTTCTAACTGTCAAATTTAATGATTTTGCATCACGAAAAGATTTTAATGTCAAAAATGACATTTAAATGACATCTTAAAGATTAAGTTTATAATTTTCTTACAGTTTGACATACTAAATGACATCTATTCCTTCTTTTCTGCAACCAATTGACATTCTAACTGTCAAATTTGATCATTTTTCATCACAAACAAATATTAATGTCAAAAATGACATCTTAAAGATTAAGTTTACAATTTTCTTACAGTTTGACATTCCAAATGATATGTCAACCTCAATTTTTGCTACCAATTGACGTTCTAACTGTCAAATTTAATGATTTTGCATCACGAAAAGATTTTAATGTCAAAAATGACATTTAAATGACATCTTAAAGATTAAGTTTATAATTTTCTTACAGTTTGACATACTAAATGACATCTATTCCTTCTTTTCTGCAACCAATTGACATTCTAACTGTCAAATTTGATCATTTTTCATCACAAACAAATATTAATGTCAAAAATGACATCTTAAAGATTAAGTTTACAATTTTCTTACAGTTTGACATTCCAAATGATATGTCAACCTCAATTTTTGCTACCAATTGACGTTCTAACTGTCAAATTTAATGATTTTGCATCACGAAAAGATTTTAATGTCAAAAATGACATTTAAATGACATCTTAAAGATTAAGTTTATAATTTTCTTACAGTTTGACATACTAAATGACATCTATTCCTTCTTTTCTGCAACCAATTGACATTCTAACTGTCAAATTTGATCATTTTTCATCACAAACAAATATTAATGTCAAAAATGACATCTTAAAGATTAAGTTTACAATTTTCTTACAGTTTGACATTCCAAATGATATGTCAACCTCAATTTTTGCTACCAATTGACGTTCTAACTGTCAAATTTAATGATTTTGCATCACGAAAAGATTTTAATGTCAAAAATGACATTTAAATGACATCTTAAAGATTAAGTTTATAATTTTCTTACAGTTTGACATACTAAATGACATCTATTCCTTCTTTTCTGCAACCAATTGACATTCTAACTGTCAAATTTGATCATTTTTCATCACAAACAAATATTAATGTCAAAAATGACATCTTAAAGATTAAGTTTACAATTTTCTTACAGTTTGACATTCCAAATGATATGTCAACCTCAATTTTTGCTACCAATTGACGTTCTAACTGTCAAATTTAATGATTTTGCATCACGAAAAGATTTTAATGTCAAAAATGACATTTAAATGACATCTTAAAGATTAAGTTTATAATTTTCTTACAGTTTGACATACTAAATGACATCTATTCCTTCTTTTCTGCAACCAATTGACATTCTAACTGTCAAATTTGATCATTTTTCATCACAAACAAATATTAATGTCAAAAATGACATCTTAAAGATTAAGTTTACAATTTTCTTACAGTTTGACATTCCAAATGATATGTCAACCTCAATTTTTGCTACCAATTGACGTTCTAACTGTCAAATTTAATGATTTTGCATCACGAAAAGATTTTAATGTCAAAAATGACATTTAAATGACATCTTAAAGATTAAGTTTATAATTTTCTTACAGTTTGACATACTAAATGACATCTATTCCTTCTTTTCTGCAACCAATTGACATTCTAACTGTCAAATTTGATCATTTTTCATCACAAACAAATATTAATGTCAAAAATGACATCTTAAAGATTAAGTTTACAATTTTCTTACAGTTTGACATTCCAAATGATATGTCAACCTCAATTTTTGCTACCAATTGACGTTCTAACTGTCAAATTTAATGATTTTGCATCACGAAAAGATTTTAATGTCAAAAATGACATTTAAATGACATCTTAAAGATTAAGTTTATAATTTTCTTACAGTTTGACATACTAAATGACATCTATTCCTTCTTTTCTGCAACCAATTGACATTCTAACTGTCAAATTTGATCATTTTTCATTACAAAAAGATTTTAATCTCAAAAATGACATGTTAAAAATTAAGTTTACAATTTTGTTACAGTTTGACATTCTAAATGACATCTAGTCCTTCTTTTCTGTAGCCAATTGACATTCTAACTGTCAAATTTGATCATTTTTCATTACAAAAAGATTTTAATCTCAAAAATGACATGTTAAAAATTAAGTTTACAATTTTGTTACAGTTTGACATTCTAACCCTTTGACATCTAGTCCTTCTTTTCTGTAGCCAATTGACATTCTAACTGTCAAATTTGATCATTTTTCACCATAAAAAGATTTTAATGTCAAAAATGACATATAAATGACATCTTAAAGTTTAAATTTACAATTTTCTTTCAGAACAATATTGTACTGTGCTATTACCGATTTTGAGTAATAAACTCCTAAAATACTTATAGATATGTTATAACCAGTATTTCTAGATATTCTTTGAAGTATTAAGAATTACATAACTGAGTAATTACTTAAAATACTTACAAATTTATTAATGTTATAATTTTAATATATTAGCCAGTAGTTTTCCATATACATATAGACTCGACTCGTCGTGATAGATTCTGTATAAGCTCCCTATTTAATTTTTTATTTCTAGTGGTTATGAAATATCATTTAAAGGAGAAGACCAACAAAATTTCACCGTCGAAATGATGAAAATGATTCAATCGAGTCAATCAAACGATTCCTCGGATTCTCACGATTCAACACTAGACGGTTACAACAATCAAACTTTACAAATTGAAGTCGAAATCGTCTCCGTGGAAACCCCCAGTTTAATTTATCTCAAAATTTTGCAGAACGAACGTAAATTCAAAGAACTTCACGCTGCAATGCAAGCTTGTTACGACAGCAGTACCGCATGGCCCATCGAAAAATGGGCTCCAAAACAATTAGTTGCCGTCAAATACAACGGGGAATATCTCCGCGGGATTGTCCGCGAAGAAGTCGCCGAAAACAAATATTTAGTTTCACTAAAAGATATTCGAAAAGACGTCGAAATCGAAGCTAAAGATATGATGATGTTGTATAAAAACTTTACTAAATGCCCCGAATTAATTACAAGGTGTCATTTAGCTAACATAATCCCCGCGGGGGGTTCAGAAAAGTGGTCCGCGATGGCGTGCGAGTTATTAGAAGAAACTCTAAAAGGGAAATCAAAAATTTATTTGATTAAAGTGGGGAAAATCGATATGAATACGAGATCTTTACCCGTTTTGCTTTGGTACAAACAATATTTTCCTGGGTCTGCTTTAGAAGAATCAAAAACGGTTATGTACTCCATAAACAAAGTTTTATTAAAAAACGGTTTAGCTTTAAAAACGAACACAATCAAAGAAAGTTTACCATCCCCAGAAAAAATAATCCGCACCGACTCCATCGATAAAAAATTTTGGGATTGGCCCCCACCCGTTTTAATCCAAGACGACCACATCGTAGCGATTCCTTCTTGCGTTAACAGCTCAGGTCAAATTTATATTCACGATGTACGCGATGAAACCGCTTTAACCGAGATGTCAAAAAAGTTATTAAATTATTTTAAAGACACCGAAGTCGATAATAAATTAGAAGATTGGAAAGTCGGAGATATCTGCATCGCTAAATACTTCTTAAACGAAGGGTGGTATCGCGCTAAAGTCGTCGCGATCAACCAAAACACCGTGAGCGTTGTCATGGTCGATTATGGAAACGAAGAAGATTTAAACCCCATCGATTTACGAAAAGAAATCTTATTCGATAACGTCCCAATTTACGCCTCAATCGTTTATCTTCAAGATTTAAACCCTTTAAATGACGTTTGGGATAAAGATGATTTAGACATCCTCCACGGTGCAATCGTCGATAAAGAAATTGATGTTTATTTCACGAAAGGACACAACATCAGAAATCCATCCCCCGTTTTAATGTCTTTTAAAGGTATCAACGTTAACGACTTTATGATGACGAAATGCAAACATTTACAAAAATCAACCGTAATTGAAACAGAAATAAATTCGTTTCTTACAAATAGTGATTGCGAATGCGATTCTGATTCGCCATCCGTTGTGCTTCTTCCCAATGATGAAACCGACAAAGAAAGCGAAAAAGACGAAGAAATAATTAAAATTACTCGAGAAATTAATACGTTTGAGGAAACGCTCAAAAAAGAATTAAAAAATAAGGAGGAATTAATTAATGAAACAAATAATGAAATCAAATTTAAAATAGAAAATATTTCAAATAACTCATCGTTTGAAATTGTAATAATAAATCTTTTCGATTACAACCAAATCATTTTTGAACAAGCGAATTACGAACACACAAATTTGGAACAATTCGAAGCTATGGAGAAAGATATCCAATCTAATTCGCAATCATTAAAACCTTTAGAAAATATCATTTTGGACGCGCCGTGTATCGTGAAATACAGCCAAGATAATCAATATTATCGCTGTAAAATTTTGGGCATCCGTAAAGATGACGTTTTAGTTTGGTTTGTGGATTACGGTAATTTTGAGTACGTCCTAAAAAGTGAATTAAAAGAGATTAAAATGGATTGGTTGGATTATCCGATTCAGCAACATTTCGCGGAAATCGACGACGTTAAGTTGGAGAATCCGGCTAAAAAGGAAGAATTTAAAGAGTTTTTGGCGAAATTTTATTCCGAAATATTGTTGGCGGAAGTGGCGATGAGGGAGCCGCTTAAAGTGAAACTTTTTGATACGAAAACGCGCGAATTGATTTATCAACAATTTATTAATTGATTTATTTTTTTATTTTAAGCTTTATTTTATTATAAATGTTTTTTTTTAAACAAAAATTGTTTGGTAGGATAGAGTTAGAATTGTATCAGATATTAGTAAAGTCAAATGTTATTGCATAAATTATGCCTTAGTAGGACATTTGACAATTAAGTTTAAATTTGATATTTTATTATTAATTTAGGTTTAGATACAGTTAATTTCTTTCATTTAAGAATGTAAGTAATAATTTGGTTGTTTTAATAAATTGTAAGACTTTTGTTAAAAAATAATTTTGAATTGGTTAATAAATAAAAATTTTAAATAAAAACTCATCTTTATTTATATTAAATTTTAATCTATAACAACTTAGAAAAAAGATGAAAATATTTTACGTATTTAATACATGTTCTCGACCTTAAAAAAATCACAGAAGAAAAAAATTAAAATTAACACACTAGTTTCTTTTATCAACATCATTTTTTTGAACTCAATTTTTATGCCATTTCTAAGTCTTTTATAAAGTTATAAATTGATTTTTGTACATTTTTAACACAACAAAATTAACTAATTTACATTAATTAATTAAATTAATTAATCCCATTTAACCCTCTCAATTTCTTACGTATAAAATACGGCATGAACCTCTCCTCGCGATCTCTTTCACCGACATCCTCTTCTTCCTTAAAACTCGAACTATTCGTCGATTTTAAATGCTCCGGTATTATTCGATCTTTGACGTAAATTAATCTTGTGTCTAAAACTTCACAGTCAATTTGCATTAAAGGAATCGTATTTGAAGCATTCGAATTTGAATCTACAAAAAAAAAAAAATTAAATAAATATAAAAATGCAATAAAAAATCGATATAATGGACTAATACTACAAAAGGAGTGACAGTTCGAAGGCCCGTTCGTGACGTCACGCATAGATGAGCAACTACTATTTGACACTTTGAATAATTAGCAAATGCTTAATTTGTTAGTTCTAATTTTAATTCAATAAACTAACGCCGAATAACAATTAAAACTGTTATCGGATTCAAAAGTTTTTGCCCCTCACTTTGAACTTGAATAACAAAAAAACTACTTCATAAAAAAAAATCGAGCTGGACGCGAAATTTAATTCTTTATAATGTGTGGTAATTTCAAATTTTGTCTCCCACTCGTATAGTAATTATCATAGCTATAATGAAAAAATGTACGCGATTTCGGACGATCGGTGAAAAAGACATTGTGATTTTTTTACACGGGAACGGTTCATTCTAAAAATTCTAAATTTCGACCACACATTGCCTAAAGGGTACTAAATATGACAGTATTTTTATTTTTTCTGATCAATTTAAAAAAAAAATTACATTATATCAAATAATGACATCTCGATAACGCGTTATTGTACGATATTGACGCTAACATCGTTCTAACCGCCTGATGACGTTGAATAAAATAGAACACTAGACTAGAAAGTTTCGGGTTTAGCCGTGCGTCTTCAGACGCAAATTTAACAACTAAAACTAGAACTAGAAACATTCAGGTTTAGCCGTGCGTCTGAAGACAACAAGTTGGCAGCCTATAAACGATGTTACAGGGTTCCAGATGTAGTAGCTCATGCTGCCAACAAATTGGAAGGCTCTACACTATAGAACAGAAGCTCTGCGATACAATAACTTATACTGCCAACAAGTTGGCAGCTTATTAATGAAGTTATAAGCTTTCAGATGTAATAGCTCATGCTACCAACAAGTTGGCAGGCTCTACACTATAGAACAGAAGCTCTAAGATACAATAACTTATACTGCCAACAAGGTGGCAGCCTATAAGTGAAGTTATACGGTTGCAGATGTAGTAGCTCATGCTGCCAACAAGTTGGCACATTATACACTGTAGAACAGAAGCTTTGAGATGCAATAGCTCATGCTGCCAACAAGTTGGCAGGCTCTACACTGTAGAACAGAAGTTCTACGATACAATAGCTTATGCTGCCAACAAGATGGCAGCTTATTAACGAAGTTATAAGCTTTCAGATGTAATAGCTCATGCTGCCAACAAGTTGGCAGCCTATAAGCGAAATTACAGGGTTCCAAATGTAGTAGCTTATGCTGCCAACAAGTTGACAGGCTCTACACTATAGAACAAAAGCTCTGAGATGCAATAGCTCATGCTGCCAACGAGTTGGCAGGCTCTACAGTGTAGAACAGAAGTTCTGCGATACAATAGCTTATGCTATTGTATCGCTACTATATTGCCCAAACAAGTTGGCAGCCTATAAATGAAGTTACAAGGTTCCAGATACATCTGGATACATCTACTATAGTAGCTCAATCTGCCAAGAAGTTGGCAGGCTATACACTGTAAAAGAGAAGCTTCTGGTGGTTTTTATGACTTAATTGCAGTAATATAACGAATAAAGACGGAGTTGTAAACAAATAGTTTACGAACCCCAAACTCTGGCGTGAGCTGTTCAGGTCCGCATTAACGGAAATTACAAAAACATAATATTTAAAAACTTAAATACCATTACTTTGTGTGAAAATTCAACAATTTATTTAAATCTATCTAAAAAGTACATTTTTTTAAATAATTTATGATTATATAACTTATTATCTTTTCACACTAATTCTAAAATAACTATAAAAAATATATGTTTTCATTTTTATACACTGTTGGAAATAATTCACGAGCACACCCTGTATAATCTGAACGCGTGTGTCTAGCGCAATAAAATTTGGTATGGAAGTACTACTAAAGTAGTATAACTTACTCACACATGGAGAACGGCACAACTCTGCTGGGAGGAGAAATATCAATAGCGAGAGTATCCCCCGTGAGCTTCGCGTACCATCGCTACACAACGTGGCATGGAGTCTATAAGTCGCTATATTGTAGCGAGAGGGATGGCTAACCATGCCACCTCAACTCGCCTCCATAGCTCCTCAACGTTAGCCGAGGAAGCCGGATAACGTAGAAGTCTCCGACCAGTCATGTCCCAAACATGTTCGATCGGATTCAGATGCGGAAACCGAGCTAGCCATGGAAGCATTCGTATATGGTGCTCTTCCACAAAGGTCTGTACAACACGCCCGATGTGCTGTCGTACGTTGTCGTGCATGTATAGCAGACCTGGGAGCCGCCGAACGTAGGGAAGCACAACGGACCGTAGCACCTCATCTACGTATCGTAGACCCGTCATGGTCTGCTATACACGCAGCAGACGTGTACGTCCACCATGTGTAATCGCACCCCATACCATAATGCTCGGTTGTCGGTGGATAGGGCGTTCTTGCACACACTGCTCGAGTAGACGATCACCACGGCTCCGACGAACTAAAATTCGCGCATCACCGGCGCTCAATTCGAATCTTGATTCGTCGGAAAACAAAATGTCCCTCTACTCGGCAACTTACTTATGCCTAGCGTCGACCCACTCGTGACGTATGCTGCGGTGCTCGGGTGTCAGTCCACTATCTACCAAACGCCGCCGTACAGTTCGCGTAGTGAGTGCGCCTTCCCCTGCCGGTGGCCAAACAGCTCCAAGTTGCCTTGACGAGGACACACACGACGCTAAAGCGCTGAGCGCAAGAGCGCGATTCTCGTGTGCTGGGGACGGGCAGGGCCGTCCCGGCCGCGGCTGAAGGTACCTATGTCCTACCTCAGACCATTCTCACCATGCTCGTTGCACTGCCGATAGCGACCGCTCGAGACGAAGCGCAATTTCACAGAACGATACACCCTCAATGTGCATATCCACAAACATTCCTCGCTCAAACTCGCTTAAGTAACGCGATCGCCCATCCATTGCGCACAGTACGATAACAATGTGGTCCCTCACACCACACTAAAAACGACCGGTATTTTCCATCCACTTCGGTCTCCATAGCGACGGAATGTTCCACTTGGAAGGGCGGCTCAGTCAACAATGCCGCGACGGAACAACTCGAAATTCCCTGAATAAACTCCCCTACCGTAAACCTTTGTGCTACGCATATTATGGATTTATCTTCACGCGTTCAGATTATATAGGGTGTGCTCGTGAATTATTTCCAACAGTGTATTATTAATTAATACTTGCTTTTTTTGTAATATCATTTAAGTATAAGTAAATTTATATTCTTTACTACATTTCTGTTTTATTATGTTGGATTTAAAATAAAATAAATAAAGAAGTGCGTCCCTGGACCTAGTTCGCTAGGAGGACTTATCATAAATCACGTCCAGGTACTTTTTCAAGGTGATAATTACTGCCATTACTATTTTTAAGGGTCATAAAAACCACCAGAAATATCGAAAACTATACAGGATTTCAGGTGTAATAGCTCATACAAGCTATACACTGTAGAACAGAAGATCTGTGATGCAATAGCTCATGCTGCCAACAAGTTGGCAGGCTTTACACTATAAAACTGAAGGTCTGAGATATAATAGTTCCTGCTGCCAACAAGTTGGCAGCCAATAAGCGAGGTTATAGTCTTCCACAAGGCGATCGGTTTTTATGACTCTGTCACTTTCCTACTGTAGTTGTAAAACGAACAAAGTTGGGGTTGCAACAGGTAGTTTCCCATTGTAGAATGCTGAGATTCCTCACTCAGGGCCGCATTAAAGAACACACTTTACTTGCAAATTGTAGAAAAAGAATAGGGTGTAAGTACGAAGGCTTTCACGGCCGGTGTGAATTAAACTAAAATTAAAACTAAAACTAGAACTAAAACACTAGAAACTTTCGGAACTAGAAACCCGAAAGTTTCTAGTATTAGTTCTAATTTTAGTTTAAGAATAGGGTGATATACATATACTCATTATTCTCTTCTTTTGCCGGGTTTATACAGAATTTAGCTGTAACTTTAAATTTAAACATTTAGATTTAAGGATTTTATATAGCTTTAAGAAAAAAAATTGATTTTTACAGAGTTTAAGATTTACAGAATCGCAACCTCAAGAAACAAAATATTACTGGTTTTTGTGTTGTCATTTTCTATCAATATCTTATCTTTATGTTCAGAACATTTTTTATCGTAAATATATCGGTAGTTCTCAACAATTTTAATTAATTTTCCATCGAATTCACTCATTTTGTTGGCACAGAAATAAACAACAGTTGAGGTTAGGTTATAACGCGCTATTTACATGGCCGATCCTTGGATACAGCTGATTGAGGTCGTCTTGCGCATGTGTAACGCTGTAAATTTAGAAAAGTTGACCAACTTTATGTTTACAGCTAAATCTTACAGCTTTGTATACACGATACATGGGGTTTCAATACATTTAACACTTACAGCTAAATTTTTAAATTGAAATTTAGAGCTAAATCGTCTGTATAAACCCGGCTTTTGTTATGTTTCTAATACTAAGTACATATTTTCTCTAAGAAATGTTTTGAGAAGGCATGCATGTCTACTTACAAAAGAGGGCAGAGGATAATTAGATTCTTTAAAGTTTTGTTATTCTATTATTTAAACATTCCTTAAAGTAATTTTTTCTAAGACTTTTATACTACTTTTTATAATTAAATTTTAGTTGTTATAACTTAACTTTGGTTTTTTATTAAATTTTAGTTTAAAAACATTTGAGTTCGACCCTCTCCTTGTCTGACAGTCATAAATCTTTTTAGGTACTCGAGCGGGCAAAAATCACCCCGGCTTTTATTTATGATTGTCATAAAAACCGATCTGGATATGGAAGAGTATACAAGGTTCGAGATGTAGTAGCTCAAGCTGACAAAAAGCAGGCGCTATACAGTGCAGAACAGAAGCTCTGAGATGCAATAGCTTATGCTGCCAACAAGTTGGTAGGCTCTACGCTGTAGAACAGAAGTTTTGAGATACAATAGCTCATGCTGCCAACAAGTTGGCAGCCTATAGACGAAGTTACAGAGCTCCAGATGTAGTAGTTCATGCTGCCAACAAGTTGGCAGGCTATACACTATAGAACAAAAGCTCAGAGAAGCAATAGCTCATGCTGCCAACAAGTTGGCAGGCTCTACGCTGTAGAACAGAAGTTTTGAGATACAATAGCTCATGTTGCCAACAAGTTGGCAGTCTATAAGTGAAGTTATAGGGTTCCAGATGTAGTAGTTTATGCTGCCAACAAGTTGGCAGGCTATACTCTGTAGAACAGAAGCTCTGAGATGCAATAGCTCCTGCTGCCAACACGTTGGCAGGCTCTACGCTGTAGAACAGCAGTTTTGAGAGACAATAGCTCATGCTGCCAACAAGTTGGCAGCCTATAGACGAAGTTACAGAGCTCCAGATGTAGTAGTTCATGCTGCCAACAAGTTGGCAGGCTATACACTGTAGAACAGAAGTTTTGAGATACAATAGCTCATGCTACCAAGAAGTTGGCAGCCTATAAGTGAAGTTACAGGGTTCCTGATGTAGTAGCTCATGCTGCCAGCACGTTGGCAGGCTATACACTGTAAAACAGAAATTCTGAGATGCAATAGCTCATGCTGCCAACAAGTTGGCAGCCTATAAGCGAAGTTACAAGCTTCAAGATGAAGTAACTCATGCTACAAACAAGTTGGCAGGCGGTCAGTAAACTGTTAATTGTAGATTCGGCCGATGATGAGTTCTTATTAACCTCGAAACCGGTACCGTAAAAATAAATTAATAAAAGCAAGTAAAGACTTTTCTCAAAATATTTTCTCACATATTATTATGTTTAACTTGCAACATGGATTCATACGATTATTGTTAGTAAATCGATTATATTAATAGTATTTTGTCCATTATATCATGTTAGAGTAATTTATAAATATTTACCATTTGAGATCATCATTGAAGGCATAATAAGCGACATTTTCGGGCGAGAAGTTTTGTTGTAATTCAAAGCAGGTNAGTTACAAGGTTCCAGATGTAGTAGCTCATGCTGCCAACAAGTTGTCAGGCTATAAACTGTAGAACAGAAGCTCTGAGATGCAATAGCTCCTGCTGCCAACACGTTGGCAGGCTCTACGCTGTAGAACAGCAGTTTTGAGAGACAATAGCTCATGCTGCCAACAAGTTGGCAGCCTATAAGTGAAGTTGCAGGGTTCCAGATGTAGTAGCTCATGCTGCCAACAAGTTCGCAGGCTATGAGTGAAGTTACAGAGTTCCTGATGTAGTAGCTCATGCTGCCAACACGTTGGCAGGCAATACACTGTAAAATAGAAATTCTGAGATGCAATAGCTCGTGCTGTCCACAAGTTGGCAGCCTATAAGCAAAGTTACAAGCTTCAAGATGAAGTAGCTCATGCTGCAAACAAGTTGGCAGGCGGTCAGTAAACTGTTAATTGTAGATTCGGCCGATGATGAGTTCTTATTAACCTCGAAACCGGTACCGTAAAAATAAATTAATAAAAGCAAGTAAAGACTTTTCTCAAAATATTTTCTCACATATTATTATGTTTAACTTGCAACATGGATTCATACGATTATTGTTAGTAAATCGATTATATTAATAGTATTTTGTCCATTATATCATGTTAGAGTAATTTATAAATATTTACCATTTGAGATCATCATTGAAGGCATAATAAGCGACATTTTCGGGCGAGAAGTTTTGTTGTAATTCAAAGCAGGTAAAAGCATATGATCGGGGCTGAAAGAAACGACGTAGAAAGTGTCATCTTTTCTATTAATAGCCTCGAAAAATTCCGAGTAAAGCGAATCGATGTTTGGGACGAAAACTTGAAGTTCGCTATCCGTGTTTGGAACTTGTTGCATCTTCCTCGATTTTTTCCCCAAACGGTAATAAATTGGGGATAAAATCGGTGAATTTAATTTAATCGGCTTTTTCGATTTCTTTTCTTTTTCTTTCGTCGTTGGCGGCTTTTCTTTCGTGAAAGCGTCGATTTCTTCCGACATATTGTAAGGTTTTCCTATCCAACTAATTAAATTAAATTAATTAAATGAAATAAAATTAAAAAGATTTATCTTACCGATGTAATTCTAAAGCTAATCGAACATTTTCACTTTGATTTATGTAGATGGGACACATTGGTAACTCTTGCGAATGATTATTATTATTGCTACTATTATTATTATTGTTGGAAGTGGTGCTGTTTGAAATTTCTTCGTCAGACCATAATAATGATCTTCGATGACGATCAAAAATAGGAGAAACTTCATTATGTGTTTTAATTGAGCTACTTACTGGGTTTCTAAAACAAAAATTTTTTCTTTAACCTTCGAGCGGGCGCGCTGTTATAAAATTTATGACAATTTTCGTTTTTATATCTCCTTATATTGCATTTGAAAGGATTTAACGCTAAAGTATTCATGTAACTATGTATTTTGAACATGATGAAAAAAAAAGTATATTGACGTCTTTATGACAAAAAAAGTTATAAAAGATTTTTTGAAACACATTTTTGAAAAATACAGGTCCGTAATGACAATTTTGTCGGAATCGAAATTTTTTTTCATCTTTTCAATATTTCAACCTTTTCGGTTTTTCGTGAGTTTATAGAAATATTCAATATATTCAAAGACTTAAGACGGTTAAACCTGAATGTTTCTAGTTCTAGGTCTAACGTTAGTTCTAGTGACAGTGGTAGGTAGCACTAGTTAACATAAGAAATCACCATGTTGTAAATTTTTGCGTCTTAAGACGCACGGCTAAACCCGAAACTTTCTAGTTCTAGGTCTAGTGTTAGTTCTAGTGTTGCACTAGCACTATCACTTGAACTAACACAAGACCTAGAACTAGAATCATTCGGGTTTAGCCGCACGTCTCTCAAGACGGCTAGACCCGAATGTTTCTAGTTCGTGGTCTAGTGTTAGTTCTACTATTGCACTATCACTACCACTAGAGCTAACACAAGACCTAGAACTAGAATCATTCAGGTTTAGGCGTCTTGAGAGACGTGCGGCTAAACCAGAATGTTTCTATTATCTGTGTATTGAACAGATGCAGTGAAGCTACACCTATTTCTTCCCCCACTATTACACAATAGCCAGTTTCACACACACAAAAAAGTACAGTCGGTACGATATTTGTTGAGCCAAAATTCCCAGAAAGGAAAAAATCAATGACGTTCTATTCTCGGAAAGCAACGGTTAATCACGGCTTGATATTTGCAAGCAGTGGCGTACCTTTAAACCATTCACGATAAATAAACGCTCATTGCAAGTAAAAACACCCACTTGCTATGCCACCGCCAATGAGCTTCGGGGTGTCCGATGTTATAGATTTCAAGAATTTGACGTACCTAGTGGTTTTCTGAGAAATTTGGCTCAACAAATATCGTACCGGCTCTACACACATACAAAGAAAGGTTCTTAGTTGACCTTTGTAAACTAGACTTACCAATAAAAAAATTCAATTCACATTTTACGCGTATTTGTGGGAGAGGCTGTAATTTCAAATTACTGCATCTGTTCGGTGAACGAACTATAGTTCTTGGTCTAGTGTTAGTTGTAGTATTGCACTATCACTACCACTAGAGCTAACACAAGAGCTAGAACTAGAATCATTCGGGTTTAGCCGTCTTGAGAGACGTGCGGCTAAACCCGAATGTTTCTAGTTCTTGTCTAGTATTAGTTCTAGTATTGCACTAACACTACCTCGGTATATGAAACATTCGGATTTAGCCGCACGTCTCTCAAGACGGCTAAACCCGAATGATTCTAGTTCTAGATCTTGTGTTACTTCTAGTGGTAGTGATAGTGCAATACTAGAACTAACACTAGACTAAGAACTAGAAAGTTAAGACGCACGATATTTTCTAATTCTAGTTAGTAAATCTAGTAACTAACTAATTCTAGATGCGTAGACATGCTCAAGGATCAACAGATCCTGGGGAAAGAGGAGAGAATTCTTAACATGAACGAGATTCTGTACGAACCGGACATCTTGCAAGCAAAGGTGGAGGAGGTAATAGCATACTTAAAAAAAGGAAAATTTCCAATATACAACGATATAATACTTCTATTTTTTTTACTCCTAACTTTTGTAAAATCTGAATCAACGTGGCTCTACTTTCATTTCTATACATAAGAAGGGTGCACAACTATCGTACCATTTTCTCGATTTCGTACCCGAGTAAGATTCTGTTCCGAATTATTAATCTAAAAGTGTTTTGCTGAAGTTCAGCGACATTTGAAATATTTTGAAAAGCACATAACCTATTTGTGCCATAACCCAACCTCACCCTTACTTCTAAAAAATCTCGGTATTACTCATTATCCATAAAAAAAAAACGTTGCAACTCAGCCTGAAATTTTATAAGATTTTCATTTCATACAGAATCATTCGGAATCACGTCACAATGCCTCAAATCATCTTTAATTCCAGAATGTTTAAATCCAACCTTATAAGCAGAATGTCTCAACCAGATCAGATTTTACTGCATACTGGAATCTCATCTGTACAGTATAGAGGTTACAACTCCGAGAAGAGTTTAGAAAATATGAGAAATAGTGTATTTCCAGATCATTACCAAAAGTAATAAGATGAAAAAGCCTTGCTTTAGACCATACCTTATTATAAAAGTAAATAACATCCTTGATGTTCAAACTCGACGAGTAAGAAACTTATTATACTAGAAGTACCATACTTGAACTCGTATTGTTCCAGATCTTGCTAGACAACCAGCCAGCGCTGACATAAAAGCAACGTCACTGGACGGACCTCTATTTATCTTGCACAACTGATCCCAAACATCAGAAAACAAAGAGTCACATTAAACTTCATTGGATCAATAGTTAAAGAAGCATCAGGAAACTTAGACGCAGAAGACGCCAGTTTTTGAGGAATTTTTGCAATTTTTGGGTTGAACAGTGTTTCTGATCAACTTAATTTGAATTGTAACGCATTCCTTGTTATTTAAATCAGCAAATAAGGAGAGAAAATATTTTTTTCAATTTGCATTTTTTTGAAACGTAGGTTTTGCAGGATTTTTATGCAAGATTTTGGTTGAACAGAATTTCTGATCAGTTTAATTTGGGCTGTATAGCATTCCTTATTATTTAGAACAGCAAATCAGGAAACAAAACATTTCTGTCAATTTGTAATTCTCTGGAAACCAGGTTTTGCTGATTTTCTTTTGCAAAATTCGGGTTGAGAAGAATATTCGATCAATTTAATTTGAATCGCATCGCAATCATAAAACTAGTTAACATAGTTCTAGTTTTGCACTAGCATTATCACCAGAGACGAATTGAGAAACGTGCGGCTAAACCCGAATGTTTCTAGTTCTAGGTCTAGTGTTAGTTCTAGTTTTACACTAGCACTAACACAAACGAATAAAGGCGTCCGCTAGGCGTGAACGGATACACCACAAAAGCACCAAGGTGCTGCTCGTGGCTCAAAATATTTCTACTTTTAAGTTAACGAACGACTGGTATGAACGGTAAGATTATACTAGGTATATGTTCAGATATGAAAAAAAAAAAGAAGCAAATAAAGACATCAAGTAACGGCTAAGTACAGATTAGTTAATTATACGTCTGTAATTGATTTTATCCATAATTTTATGACATAGTTCAAGTTTGTACGAGTTACACTCCTATCAGTTGCCGAGAGAAATCCAGTGAAGCTATTGTAAATTCTATGTGCATGACAAATAAAAAATTTTTCTGTGTGCGCTTTAAAATGCTTAATAGGTCTTGCCTCGGAAATTCCAGCAGTAGTGGATTGTTGATAATAAATTTAGCAATCTCGATTGTATAAAGTTGCCTAATATTAAAAACCTCAGTGAGTTCAAACAGCGCGTCCGATGAGAAGTCGCGCGGTTTATATGTCATAATTTTTAAAATAGTTCTCTGGGCAACCTCAACGTTAGTAATAAGATAAGTCGAGGCATCTCCACAAGCTAAGATACCGTATATCAACAAAGATTGGACTAAGGCGTAATAAACCACTTTAAGAGAACTAATCGGTAGAATTTCACGCAGTTTCTTGAAAACATAGAATAGTTTTCGCAATCTGGCACACAAGTTACTTATATGATCCCCCCACCGAACGCACTGATCAATCATGACACCAAGGTACTTGGTTGACCCGACCCGGTTTATTTTATTTGAGCAAATGCATGCTTCTGGTTGGCATTTATCTGAGTGAAATGTTATTTCATTTATATTTGGTAAGTTAGCAGAATACGAAGAGAATGTAATGAAATGAGACTTCTTAATGTTAAGTGATAATTTATTTCTAGTTAACCAAGCTTTTATTATTCGTAAATCGGATGGGGTTTGTTCAATTACACTCCCATGATTCGCCCTCAACAAAGAGAACTGTGTCATCAACATATGCAATCACTTCTGCATTAAGATGAATATCAAATATATCATTTATGTAAACTAGGAAGAGTAGAGGTCCTAGGACGGTGCCCTGCGGGACACCAAATGTCATAAGTTTCTCAGAGCTAGCAAACCGTTTATATTAACTTGCTGATATCTCTCACTTAAGTAGTCCCTAAACAACTCAAGAGTGCTACCTCTACATCCACACATCTCCAGTTTATTTAACAAAATGTCATAATGGACTGTATCGAAAGTTTTAGACAGATCTAGAAAGGTAGCTATGCAGGGCCTTCTTCTATCCAAAGAGTAATGAATGAGTTGTGTTAAGCGCAAAACTGCATGATTTGTAGACCGCCCAGCCCTAAAACCATATTGATTTTTATTTAAGAAGTTATTTTTTTCAAACAATACCTAGAACTAGAATCATTTGGATTTAGCCGTCTTGAGAGACGCACGGCTAAAGCCGAATATTTCTAGGTCTAGCATTAATCCTAATTTTAATTGTTATTCAGCGTTTGATTGTGGGATATTTTTATTGGACGAAAAGTAGAACTAACACTAGACCAAGAATAGAAACATGCTGGGTTAGCCGTGCGTATTAGGACTGACGAAAACTCAAGATTGTCATAAAGAAGTCACCTTTTTCCAAGCAAAACTTTTCCTCTGCAAAACTACCCAATGCCTGTACTATTAAGCTATGTTGCATTTTATGTGGGACAGTGCAAGTGGACAGTAGTTTCGTAACTACAGTTACTGCATTCATATATTGCCACTTATACAGCGTGTCCGGAAATGACGTGTACAACGCAAAAAATCGTCAATGGATATTATTCATTTTTTGGTCATGCGTTTGTATCAGTAGACTACAGCTATTTGTGGAATAAACTCTAATTTCGAAAATTATAGGGGCTTAAAAAATTTGTCACAATAAATTATGCATCCATATCTTTTTAACCCCCTTTACAAACACTACCATTCTTTTTTTCTGAGTAATTACTTTTATTTAGAAACTATTTTCTCTCTTACAAAATTTCAATTGGGTGACCGGTTTAGCCACAAAAAAATATTTTCTAAATCTTCACAAGCGCGAATGAGTGATATATGGTAACACTAATAACGTTTTTTTAATAGTTGGCTAGGTATAATTAATTTTAAAAACAAAAACTTGACAGCGGTATTCGTATTTTTTGTTTTGCGTTTTATCTTTGATTCATCATGAATGTTTAACGCCCTCTAGCGGCTAAACAAAACAATTTTGTATACAGTATGTCCCCGGATCGAGTTACAAAGAGCAAAAAAATTTTTGTTACTTATTTTTCAAACCTATCTTAGCATAAATAATGCGTCGGATATGTTCAAACTACTAAATCGCATGAATTTTATACTCTAACTATAAAAGTTAACTAATTATTCCAATTTTTATATAAAAATTGGACTTTTTCTAAATTGAAAATTTTTTAAGTTCAATTTATGACATGTAACCATAGAAACCATAAAAGTTACAACTTATGTTGGTGAGATTAAGTCTTTTCATGCGATGTTAACCGTGAAAGAGAGAATTTATTTAGTACTGTGCTATGGTACTAGTGAATCATGTTTTCGTGTAGTTATACAAAAATTCCAGCTAAAATATTCGGACACAAGAATATCTCATGTTGGGGCTCGCAAACTGATGAAAAAATTTTGGAAACGGGTTCTGTATTATCCATATAGAGCCAGACAAAGAGACTAAACGTGGAAGATGCTGCTTTTCAGATAGCTTTTCAACAAATGACATTGTCATGAAGGAATTTGTTTGAATGAGGATTTTTTCACTTAGTGTGTTATTACTTATTACATAAATTTACATTTAATAGTATATTATTCAACAAGCGTATAATGGCGGCTGTTACCCAAGAAGATGAAGTTGCAAAACGAGCGAGCGAAGCGAGCGAGTGTTGTAATCTGAGTGGATGACATCCATTATACGCAAGTTGAATACTATACTTTATCTACAACTATTTAATTTCGAAAAAAAAATGAAAAAAACGAAAAAAAAAAAACTTGATAGACATTTCAGACATAACCTCAATATAAGAAAGCTGTCATTTCTGTTAATGTTTTATTTTTTTATTAGTAGGCCGTGTCAAAACTGTGGAATAATGGCTTCATTATTCAACACTTTGTCAGTCATGAGTAATGGGTGTCATTACCCGTCAAAAATCAAATGTATAACGAATAGATAATTCAATAGTTGTAGATAAAATATTTTATCTACAACTTTACTACTTTAATATTCTATCTACAACTTTCTACTTTTTTTTTCCTTTTTTTGATTCTTTTTTCAAAATTAAATAGTTGTAGATAAAGTAAAGTATCCAACTTGCGTATAATGGATGTTACCCACTCAGATTACAATACTCGCTCGTGTTGCAACTTCATCTTCGTGGGTAACAGCCGCCATTATACGCTTGTTGAATAATATACTATTAGTCAATTAGCCATATTTTAATTTGATTTGTCCGTATAATTTTCACTAACATAAGTTGTAACTTTTATTTTATTTTATTGGTTTCTATGGTTACGTATCGTAAATTGAACTTGAAAATTTTTTAATTTAGGAAAAGTATAATTTTTACATAAAACTGGGAATAATTAGTTAACTTCTATAGTTAGAATACAAAGTTCGTGCGATTTAGTGGTTTGAACATATCCGACGCATTATTTATGCTGAGATAAGTTTGAGAAGTCAGTAATAAATTTTTTTTTCCTGTTTGTAACTCGATCCGAGGACATACTGTATAGATAAGTTGAGTTAAATAATCATATTTTTAGTCAAGGTACTTGTGGTCTTGCAGTGTACACGACATTTCGGGACACCTGTATGAAATTCCCGGTATGTAGTTTGTAAATGTTGTTAGATTTCAAAAATTAATCGATTTTATTTTATGTTTTTAACAATTATTTAATATAAATTAAATATTTTTACTCTAGCAAAATGTGTGTTTTAATTATTTCATTAAAAATAACGTAATACTTCTTATTAACACGGACCTGATTTCATAAAATTTATGACACGCGCCCTATCGAAGGTTAATGAATTAAATTAAAAAAAATATTAATTTGACTTACCGTATATAATCAAGATTAAATCCTAAAGTGAATATAAACGCGCAAAGAACTAATGTTTTAGTAATCGTTTTTTGTTGAACATGTCCATTAATACCATTTAATTTACAAAATTTAATTAATTTTTCTTTCAATTGAGCGTTTTCTTTCTTTAAACTTTCATTTTCACTTGAAAGATCTTGCACCTTTTTCTCCAACGATAACAAATACTCCTTCTTTTTTTTCCTCGACAAATTCGCCGATTCCCGATTTTTAATCATCCTCTGTTGCCTCTTTAACGCCTTACTATCCAAACCGTCATTTATAACGATCGGAAAATACGTGTGATTTCCATTATTTAAATTCGTTAAACCATTTACTTGTTGCATTGGAACGGTTTGGACGTTTTCCAAAACAACCACGTTAACATTTTGAGTTTGATTAACAACTTTCGGTTTCTTAACGGGAACATCGTCAATAATAAACGTAGTTGAAGGTGATTTAATTTTATTTTTAGTAATTTTCGGGATAGGTACTTTTAAAACCGCGTTTGTGTTATCGTTGAATTCGTAGGAATTCGGCGAAATCGGTGGGGTATCAATAATAATCTCTTCTTTAATGTTTCTTTCATTTTGAGATGTTGAGCTGCTACTCGAAGGTGTTGGGCTGTCGGATTTAGGGGAATAAGATGGGTATTCGATTTTCACGTCAGCTTGTAAGTTTGGAAACGAATCTAAACTCCACGTTTTTTGGGTGAAATCGTATTTTTTTAACTCGTCGATTTCATCGTTTATATCGTATTTTGAGACGGGGGGAGTTACTTCGGATAGAATTTCGTCGGGCGTTCGATCCAGAAGGGAACTTAATACTCCTAAATCGTCGTTGGGATTTAAAAGCGATGGGATGTCTAATTCCGATGAAAGAGCTTGGAGGAAATCTTCATCTGAATGGAAATCTAAATCTAAAAAATAAAAATAAATATTTTAATGTTTATTTACAAAACTGATTAGAATGTATTTAGAGGTTTAAATACGTGTTTACAGTTGTAAAGTTAAGAATCAAGTTCATGATCTTTTCAAGGTTACTTTTTTATCTGGATTTATTTTTAAATAATTTTTTTACATAAATTAATCTGAAGTTGATTTTTATTGATTTCTGTAATGCTGAAAACTGATGGAAATAACTTGTGAAAATGTTGATAGTTACAATGTAAAGGCTGTCCCAAATTAGGCAATCTCCGAAACTAAAAGAGATATAAAAAAAAGTAGCTGACATGTCATGATTTCGTTTTTCGAGAAGCTGCTAATGTCGAAAACTACAAACAGCTATCGTCTTTTGTTTACATCCCATCGGCAAAAACTGAAAAATTTGACCCGATGCGTATAATTTATTTTGCCTGTTCTACGCAGTTTCAGCAAAGTATCAAAGAATGCGTTTTAACATAGTAAGATTTGAAAAAATTAGCAATGACTTCAGAACAGAAAAGTTAAGTTAGGTTAGTTTTATTTACAAATGTCTATTTTCTGACAAAAATATTAGGTAATGTTAGGATAAGTAAATTTTCTTTTGAACCTTTATTATTATACCGTGAAGAAATTCCAATTAAAGCGTGAAGGACTGAAAAAATATTGGGTAAGGTTAGTTTTGTTTACGGCTGTCAATCAGCAACAGAACGTTTGGTAACGTTAATTTTTCATAATTTGCGAAATTCATATTTGTATTCAATTTTGTTATACTTTGAAACAATTTAACATTGACCTAAGCGTAGTATGCATAAGTTGGCAGCCTATAAACAAAGTTACAGGCTTCCAGGTGTAGTAGCTCACGCTGCCAACAAGTTGGCAGGCGGTACGCTGCAGAACAGAAGCTCTGAGATGCAATAGGTCATGCTACTAACAAGTTGGCAGGCTCTACACTGTAGAACAGAAGCTCTGACATACAATAGCTCATGCTGCCAACAAGTTGGCAGCCTATAACCGAAGTTACAGGGTTCCAGATGTAGTAGCTCAAGCTGCCAACAAGTTGGCAGGCTCTACACTGTAAAACAGAAGCTCTGAGATACAATAGCTCATGCTGCCAACAAGTTGGCAGCCTATAAGCGAAGTTACAGGGTTTCAGCTGTAGTAGGTCATGCTGCCAACAAGTTGGCAGCTTATAAACAAAGTTACAAGATTCCAGATGTAATAGCTCATGCTGCCAACAAGTTGGCAGGCTCTACACTGTAGAACAGAAGCTCTGAGATAGAATAGCTCATGATGCCAACAAGTTGGCAGCCTATAAGCGAAGTTACAGGGTTCCAGATGTAGTAGCTCAAGCTGCCAACAAGTTGGCAGGCTATACACTATAGAACAGAAGCTCTGAGATGTAATAACTCATGCTGCCAACAAGTTGGCAGGCTCTATGCTGTAGAACAGAAGTTCTGAGATACAATACCTCATACAGCCAACAAGTTAGCAGCCTGTAAGCGAAGTTACAGGGTTCTAGATATAGTAACTTATGCTGCCAACAAGTGGGCAGGCGGTGCGCTGCAGAACAGAAGCTCTGAAAAATTCCAATTAAAGCGTGAAGGAATGTTACGATAGGTCCGGTTTGTTTTGAAACCCTAATTATAGCGGGAAGGACTGAAAAAATATTGGGTAAGGTTAGTTTTGTTTACGGCTGTCAATTAGTAACAAAACATTTGGTAACGTTAATTTTTCATAATTTTCGAAATTTCATAGTTGTATTCAGTTTTGTTATACTTTGAAACAATTTAACATTGACCTAAGCGTAATATGAACAAGTTGGCAGCCTATAAACAAAGTTACAGCCTTCCAGGTGTAGTAGCTCATGCTGCCAACAAGTCGGCAGACTCTACACTGTAGAACAGAAGCTCTGAGATACAATAGCTCATGCTGCCAAGAATTTGGCAGCCTATAAGCGAAGTTACAGGGTTCCAGATGTAGTAGCTCAAGCTGCCAACAAGTTGGCAGGCTATACACTGTAGAACAGAAACTCTGAAATATAATAGCTCATGCTGCCAACAAGTTGGCAGCCTATAAGCGAAGTTATAGGGTTTCAGATGTAGTAGGTCATGCTGCCAACAAGTTGGGAGCTTATAAACAAAGTTACAAGATTCCAGATGTAGTAGCTCAAGCTGCCAACAAGTTGGCAGGCTCTACACTATAGAACAGAAGCTCTAAGATGCAATAGCTTATGCTGCCAACAAGTTGGCAGGCTCTACGCAGTAGAACAGAAGTTCTGAGATACAATAGCTCATACAGCCAACAAGTTGACAGCCTATAAGCGAAGTTACAGGGTTCCAGATGTAGTAGGTCATGCTGCCAACAAGTTGGCAGCTTATAAACAAAGTTACAAGATTCCAGATGTAGTAGCTCATGCTGCCAACAAGTTGGCAGCCTGTAAACGAAGTTACAGGGTTCTAGATATAGTAACTCATGCTGCCAACAAGTGGGCAGGCGGTACGCTGCAGAACAGAAGCTCTGAGATGCAATAACTCATGCTGCCAACAACTTGTAGCCTTTCACTACATCTTTAACAATCTACATGTACTAGAATTTACATCAGAACTTGAATACCAAGTGAAATTAAACTTTTTAGATTTGGAAATAAAAAGAGATCGCAATCACAAATGTCTTAAATTATTTATTTTTAAATTCTCTTTTAACTATTTAAGTCATAAACACGCCAATTTTAGATTCATGTTTAACAGAATGCTAAATATGCCTCTGGAAGAGAAAAATATTGTAGACGAGATCTATAAAATATTAAAAATAGGTCCAAACAATGACTTCAGTTTAGCCGATATATAATTTTTTTTTAATAAAACACAAAGAAGTTACGTCAATAAACTTATCTATCGTAATGTAAAGCCCAAAACTCAATATCTGGCCATACCATACAATCCATTACTGGAATATGAATTCAAGAACAATTTGAAAAAATACAACATTACGCCTGCGTTCAAATCAGGCAAAAAATCTAAGGTGATGAAAGTTTTCTTCAAACACCTGAAAGAATACTCTGCAGACATTGAAAACATAAGATTACTAAAACATGTCAACAAATCCATGGAACCTGACCTACATGAACAGAGTTCTTTATACATTTCAATAAAGAAAATACTAAAAAGCCACTATTAAATGACATCACCGGATTTTTTAACAAGAACAGATATTTCTTAAAATACATCAAAAATTAATCTCATTGCTAAAGTTTCTCTTTTCCAAATAAATTTGCACACATCATATTTTCTCCTTAATTTAAAAAAATTTTTAAAAATTTAAATGAAATCTACAATTGCTTTAAGAACAATTTCCAGTTTTCTTTGTTGCCTTTTAACGTTATTTCCCTCTTATTTACTTCTGCTTGAAGTTCAAATTTTTAAGTTTTCGTGATAATGAAAACAACAAGTTGGTAGCCTATAAGCGAAGTTACAGGGTTTCAGATGCTGCAAACAAGTTGGCAGGCTATACACTGTAGAACAGAAGCTCTGAGATACAGTAGCACATGTTACCAACAAGTTGGCAGCCTATAAGCGACATTATAGGGTTCCAGATGAAGTAAGTCATGCTGCCAACTTGTTGGCGGCTTATAAACAAAGTTACAAGATTCCAGGTGTAGTAGCTCATGCAGCCAACAAGTTGGCAGCTTATAAACGAAGTTACAGGGTTCCAGATGTAGTAGCTCAAGCTGCCAACAAATTGGCAGGCTATACACTGTAGAACAGAAGATCTGAGATGCAATAGCTTATGCTGCCAACAAGTTGGCAGGCTCTATGCTGTAGAACAGAAGTTCTGAGATACAATAGCTCATACAGCCAACAAGTTTGCAGCCTATAAGCGAAGTTACAGGGTTCCAGAGTAGTAGGTTATGCTGCCAACAAGTTGGCAGCCTGTAAGCGAAGTTACAGGGTTCTAGATATAGTAGCTCATGCTGCCAACAAGTGGGCAGACGGTACGCTGCAGAACAGAAGCTCTGAGATGCAATAACTCATGCTGCCAACAACTTGTAGCCTTTCACTATATCTTTAACAATCTATGTGTACTAGAATTTACATCAGAACTTCGTACTAACTTCATCGTAATGTAAAGTCCAAAACTCAATATCTGGCCATACCATACAATCCATTACTGGAATCTGAATTCAAGAACAATTTGAAAAAACACAACATTACGCCTGCGTTCAAATCAGGCAAAAAATCTAAAGTGATGAAAGTTAGAGCTTCTTACTAAGGATTCCTCCATTTTCTTCAAACACCTGAAAGAACACTCTGCAGACATTGAAAACATAAGATTACTAAAACATGTCAACAAATCCATGGAACTTGACCTACATGAAGAGTTCCTTACACATTTCAATAAAGAAAATACTAAAAAGCCACTATTAAATGACATCACCGGATTTTTTAACAAGAACAGATATTTCTTAAAATACATGAAAAATTAAACTCATTGCTAAAGTTTCTCTTTTCCAAATAAATTTGCACACATCATATTTTCTCCTTAATTTAAAAAAATTTTAAAAAATGTAAATGAAGTCTACAATTGCTTTACGAACAATTTGCAGTTTTCTTTGTTGCCTTTTAACGTTATTTCCCTCTTATTTACTTCTGCTTGACCTTCAAATTTTCAAGTTTTCGTGATAATGAATACAACAAGTTGGTAGCCTATAAGCGAAGTTACAGGGTTTCAGACGTAATAGCTCATGCTGTCAATAAGTTGGCAGTTTATAAACGAAGTTATAACCTTCCAAATGTAGTAGCTCATGCGTAACGAAGTTACTAGGTCCCAGATGCTGCAAACAAGTTGGCAGGCTATACACCGTAGAATAGAAGCACTGAGATACAGTAGCACATGCTACAAACAAGTTGGCAGCCTATAAGCGACATTATAGGGTTCCAGATGAAGTAAGTCATGCTGCCAACTTGTTGGCGGCTTATAAACAAAGTTACAAGATTCCAGGTGTAGTAGCTCATGCAGCCAACAAGTTGGCAGCTTATAAACGAAGTTACAGGGTTCCAGATGTAAGTAACCCATGCTGCCAACAAGTTGGCAGGTGGTACGCTGCAGAACAGAAGCTCTGACATACAATAGCTCATGCCACCAACGAGTTGGCAGCCTATAAGCGAAGTTACATGTAGTAGCTCATGCTGCCAACAAGTTAGCAGGCTATACATGTGTAGAACAGAAGCTCTGAGATGCAATAGCTCATGCTGCCAACAAGTTGTAGCCCTTCACAACATCTTTACCAATCTATGTGTACTAGAATTTACCGCAGAACTTGAATTCCAAGGGAAATTAAACTTTTTAGATTTGGAAATAAAATGAGATCCCAATCACGAAGGTCTTAAATTTGATATTTTTTGAAAAAAGACCTACACTGATGTGACCATCCCAAAATTCTCTTTTAACTGAATATGCCTCTGGAAGAGAAAAATATTGTAGACGAGATCTACAGGTGTTCCGGTGACTCGGGGAATAAAATTAACCTAATATACTAGAGCAAAAATGATGACGATTCGTGAAAAAAAATTATTATAAAAGTCTTCAAATGGCCAAGATATGGGCAGTTCAGAAATTTTAACACATTTTTCTCAATACTTTCAATACCATTTATGGTAGAGCGTTGAAATTTAGTACAGGATAAACAAATATCAAGCAAAATCATTGAACCAATTTTGACTTTGATCGGGCGGCGGCAACCATGCTATACAGACTGTCCCTAAAATTTGTTTGTCCAGAACTTTTTTGTTCGCTCGTAACCCTACATTTATTTTTGTACTTTTTAATAGAAAATTTATTTTAGAAACTTTTATCACTCTGAAAATTTTGATAACATTGACCGTTTTGAAGTTATACGCGAAAACGATCAAAAGCTTCGATTTCAACGGTCATTTCAAACGGTACATACATCTATCACATCTATCACTGGAATCTAAATTCAAGAACAATTTGAAAAATACAACATTACACCTGCATTCAAATCAGGCAAAAAATCTCAGGTGAACTGAATAATAAACATAGATAGATAAACATGAACACCTGAAAGAACATGAGCACTCTGCAAACATTAAAAACATTAGATTACTAAAACTCAGTAGCTAGTAGCTCATGTTGCAAGAAGTTGGCAGCCTATAAGCGAAGTTACAGGGTTCCAGATGTAGTACCTTATGCTGCCAACAAGTTGACAGGTGCTACCCTGTAGAACAAAAGCTTTTGGATACAATAGCTCATGCTGCCAACAAGTTGGCAGCCTATAAGCGATGTTACAGGGTTCTAGATGTAATAGCTCATGCTGCCAACAAGTTGACAGGCTATACCCTGTAGAATAGAAGCTTTGAGATGCAATAGCTCATGCTGCCAACAATTTGGCAGGTGCTACCCTGTAGAACAGAAGCTTTTGGATACAATAGCTCATGCTGCCAACAAGTTGGCAGCCTATAAGCGATGTTACAGGGTTCTAGCTGTAATAGCTCATGCTGCCAACAAGTTGACAGGCTATACCCTGTAGAATAGAAGCTTTGAGATGTAGTAGCTCATGCTGCCAACAAGTTGGCAGTCTATAAAAGAAATTACAAACTTCTAGACTAATTAACTCTTTAACAAAACTAGAACTTCTAGATTAGACTTCTTATATAGAAATAAGCTGCTAAAAAATTAACACTTTCAAAAACATTAAGATTGCTAGTAAAACTTCAATAACAGAAAAATATAGGCTTAAAGAATTAAGTTTATTCTATATCGTAGTAAAGTTGTAAACAATTTTTCAACAATTTAAATTATTTACCTTGATCCATATAACTTGCAATATTTCTAAAACATAACTAAAATACTTTTAACATAGATGAGTTAAAATGTGCATAAAACACATTGATTCTTAGATTCTACTTAGATAATTACTACAATTTTAAACAATATTTTATGCTTCAATTTAAGTTCTTTGACTAAAAATTAAAAATGTTTTATTAATTTAAAGTTTTCGCCAAAAATTAACATTCATGAGATGTGGACCAAAATAAAATCAAGTTCATAAACTTTTCAAGGTTATTTTTTTATATCCAAAGTTTATTTTTATTCCTTTTTAAAAACGAATTATTGTTTCCTGAAAAGAAAACCGAAAAAGGATTTATAATATATTATGATTATATTATAATCATAACTCATCATTGATGAAATTATCAAAAAGAAGTTAATCATAAATCCAAAAAACAATTCATAAATACATGTCCTTATCTCATTTCTTAATAAAAATTTGAAATTTTTATGGATTTTTTTAACCACCACGTGTTATCTCTCAACTATGTTAATTAAGGTTATAAGCTATAAATTAAAATCGTTGTTTTAACATTTTTTTTTCCTTACCATTCAAAAACTGATTATTTCCATTCTCTAAATCGTAAGCTTTGTAATCATATTCCTCGGTCGTGAGCATTTTTTTAACAAACCATAACCATAAGAGAAGCCGCCACAACTTACACTTTCATCAGAATCACTTTTATTTTGAGGACACACGCGTTTTTCTACCGGTTTGTTGGAGTTATTTGGATGTTAGACAAATCGATGACGTTTGTTTGGGTACACGTCAAAAAATAATGGGGAAATTTCATTTTTTATGGTTGGTTGTATAATTAGTATAGAATTTGGTTAATAGATGGAGGTAATTAATTAAATATTTTAAATTAATTCATAAATTGAAGGAAATCAATAAATTAATAAAAAAAAAAGAAATTTAAATAATTTTGTCAGGTCGGGCAATTTTTGCCTACATGGATTAATTTTTAGAGCGTAATTGCAGGTAAAAATAAAATTCATTAATAATTGTATGAATCCATGTTGCAAGCTTATTATACAGTATGTCCGTAAAGTAACGGATATAGGCGATAAAATCATTATAAACGGTTTATGGAAAAATCCCTGAAACGGGTCTAAAGATATAAATTTTTTGCAATTCCGCCACTTTTAAGCGAATTATGACGTCATCGGTATTTTTATCAAATCGCAATTCCAATTTTTATTATGGAATATGAAAGAGGATTTTTTTCTGAATCTACTGAATCTACGAAAGTGTAACTACTTCAGATTTGTTGACATGATGAAAATAGCAGTAGCCATGAATAACCAATTATTTTAAACAATTTCCTAAGGGTCAAAAACTGATTTAGTAAGTAGTTTACCTCTTTAATACAACATATCCTATTGGTTACTCATTAGCCAAAGTATAGTGAGCCTAGCTGTGACTAAATTTAAAAAGCATGGCCATCTCTCGAAGTCTGGCGTGCTAAATGTTTCAGGAGAAGTTCAACAAATCGTGGTTTTAGCTGGGCAAGAAAACCCTCATGTTACTGTAAGGAGTATTGGGTCTATATTGTATGGACAAGTAAACAGACAAAGTTGTCGGTATTGGCTTACCCAAAATCCAAATTAGTCACGAAAGCCGCACACCTAATATCCGCAAAACATTTGAGGAAACCTTAACTGGAAAGAGATGTTTAAATTTTTTCAAAACGATGTCATTCATTCCATCCCGATAATGTTGACACAACTCAATTCCAACGGCAGTTATTCCAACAACATGGCGCGCTACCATACTTCAAGAAGCTTTACTAAATCAGTTTTTGATACCTAGGGAATTGTTTAAAATGATTGGTTACCATAGTTTCTCATGGCTACTGCTATTTTTATCATTTATACAACTTTGAAGTAATTAAACTTTAAAGTAATTTATCTCGAAAATTTTCTTATGTAACCTATATTAATATTGATTGTACCAGATTCAGAAAAAATTCTCTTTCATATTCCCTAATAAAAATGGGGCATTGCTATTTGAAAAAGATATCGATGACGTCATAACTCGTTTAAAAATGGCGGAAGAAATTTGAAATCTACACCAAAAAATTGCAAAAAATTTATATCTTTAGACCCGTTTCAGAGATTTTGCGATAAACCGTTTATTATGATTTTATCGCCTATATCCGTTACTTTGCGGACATACTGTACACATATGTAAAGGAATATATTTAATAAAAAACTTCTTACTTGCTTGTAAAATAATTATTATTATTGCTACCGATTTCGACTATTATTAGTCATCATAAAGAAAAAGAAAATGTTAAAATTTAGAAAATGTAGAAGCATGACATGTGTTTAAACAAATTAAAACATTAGTAAATATTATTAAAATGTTAAAAATAAAAACTGTCACGAATTAAAATTAAAATAAAAGGATGGGACGAGCACTTCATATAAAAATGGAAGACTTCAACAAAGAAACTTCTTTGTTAAAGTCTTGTTATTTCTTCAAATATCTTTTCTTGAAAATTTTCAAACATCTGGTTATAATTTCTTGTTGTGGCTGGAAAAGAAGGTTGACAGGAAAAGAAGGATCTGCACTTTCCGTTCTTGAAACAAACAAAAAAATCTATCCTGATTGGTATCAGCTGGCTTTAAAGTTGCATCTTTTCGAAATAAGCCCAGAAAATTTAGTTCGTTGTTTATAATTATTATAAAGGGGTTCTAGATGTAATAGCTCATGTTGCCAACGTGTTGGCAGGCTCTTCGTTATAGAACAGACAAGCTGTGGGATGTATGTATGTATGTAGGAAAGCGGAGGGTATGCTTCCGCATACAGCACCTAGGCCCCAACGGGCCCCTTGTACGTCCTCCTACACTCTCTCCGGCTACATCAACCAGCCTAAGGAATTTCCGAAGGCTAGGATACAGCTCAAAGGTGTGTTCCTGATGCCATCTGTGGTCGGCCATTCCTCTCCGAAGTCTCTCATTCTGAGGTCTTGCAGAGTGGGGCATTCACATAAGATGTGTCGGACCGTCTCCTCGCTCTCTTTACAGAGGCGACAGAGAGGACTAACAGCAAGCTTAAGGTTATAAAGATGCTTGTTTACCTTACAGTGACGAGTCACCCGTGACGAGTCCCGTTACAGTTCGTAGAGCGTTTCTGCCAAGCCTTACGAAAGATAAGGCTGCCTCTGCTGAAGGATAATGTAATACTTCCTTAGACAGATGGCAGCCCTTAACCCTATCCCACCAGTTCATAAACTTTTTGTGGGTAAAATCTTTAATTATCTCAATCTGAGTTGATAAGGACGGAACGATTATCGGTTCGGCGCTCGCTTGGCAGCCCTTTTGGCAAGCCTATCAGCGTGCTTGTTACCTGAACAAGTCGAGTGTCCTTTTATCCATTGAAGTATAACACAGTTATGCACTGCGACCTTCTCCAACGTCAGACGACAACCCATAACAAGTCCTGAGGTAATTGTTATTCTACTCAGGGCCAAAATAGCTTGTCTACTGTCAGTATAAATTGTAAAAGTCTTACCTACCAAGTTGGATCTGACAATAACGTCAGCGGCAAGTTGTATGGCGATTAATTCCGCCTGTATGACGGTGGTACTTTTACCTAGAGGTTCAGATACGTGGAGTCGGAGATCGTACGAGAAGACTCTGGCTCCAGCTCCTTCCCGTCTCTTTGAACCATCAGTGTAGATTTTCAGGCTGTTTTTTACCTCTACTTCTGTGGAACTTGGGTGGGTGAGATATTTCTTCGTAAAAATGTGTTGTAGGGGTGTAATGTCCGTTACACAATCCAGAATTGGTGAGTATTCCACCATTTCGTTCCAGAGATTGGCATTTTTACAGTTTCTCTCACCCATTAGAATTCCTGCTGCTCGCAGTAGCAGCTGTAGAAGCTGTGGGATGTAATAGCTCATTCTGCCAACAAGTTAGCAGTTTATAAACAAAGTTACAAGCTTCCAGATATAGTCGCTCATACTGCCAATAAGCAAAGTTACAGGGTTCCAGATGTAGTAGCTGATGCTGCCAACAAGTTGGCAGGCTATACGCTATAGAACAGAAGCTCTGAGACACAATAGCTCATACTGAAAACAAGTTGGTAACCTATAAACGAAGTTACAGGGTTCCAGATGTAGTAGCTCATGCTACATTTACAATTATTGTAAATGTTCTTCAATTTGTTATCGATTTCTTAGGTTTATGGTTTTTATTTTTGTTTTAAAAAAGATTGCAGTTTTTTATATACTCTTTTTTTTTCTTGTTCTTCCTTAAAGTATCCTCTTAAAGTATTGAGATATGATCGCCAGTTTCTCATTACATTTTTGCACATATTTAGTAATTTGGAAGGTTGTCGTTCCATCTTTCTCTAGATCTCTCGATGTTCCTTCGTTCTGATGATTAATGTTTCTCATCAATTCATTTCGTACGATCGATGAGCTTATTCCATTTAATATTTCTGTTTAATACCCAGTCATTAATTAACTTTCCTGTATGTTTGGCTGATGTTCTCGCTTCTTTCTCTATCCTGTCTAGCTATTTTACACACTATTTTTATTTTCTGCAGTCTCTAGCGTTCTTTTTATTTTGGATTTTTTCGAGCCGGAATTTTGCTGCATAAGTTAAGTTTCTTGACTTCCAGATATTTCGATGCCCAGGTATTTAAAGTTCATTCCCTAGTATATGATTTTATCATCGATCATAAACTTGCATCTTTATGCTGCTGATTTTATCAGATTCCATTTTTTGCTGTTTTATTAAACTGGTAACCTTTCGTCATAATCCTCGTTCTCCGCGACCGGCATAAATGTTACAACAAATGTTTAAAAGTACTTAGTCCTTACAACTAACTATTTGAGGGAAGTTATAAATTAAAAACATGATAGGTATAATGATGATATACATATTAGGTATTGTACATGAATTCTGCAATTTGTTGTCTTGACAAAACATTCGATTTCTTAGGTTTATGATTTAAATATTTTTGCTTTAAAAAAGCTTGCACTTTGCACTTTTCAACATTGAGTAAAATGTCCACAGAGAAGCTGCTGAATATTTTTCTGATTTTTCCAAAAAATAGGCAAGGAGAACATTGTCGGAACACTTGGCTGTGATTTTCTTAGTTTGAGACCAGTCCATAAGATTTCTGTATTGTTTTTCACACTTGCCCCGCGATTTGGATGGAAGAACACTTTCGGTAGCTGTTTTTTTTAAGGCTTATAGTAAAAAGTGTACGAATCCTACCCACTCTCCCCTATATTGTACAACCGGCTCTAAACTGTTTTTGTCAGGTGGATAGCTATCGGCTAAATAAGACTAAGTTGGTAGTACTTTTTCCTCATATCTAGTAATTTGTGCCTAATCCGAATGTTTCTAGTTCTTGGTCTAGTGTTAGTTCTAGTTTTACACTAGCACTATCATTAGTACTAACACAAGACCTAGAACTAGAATCATTCGGGTTTAGCCGTCTTGAGTGACGTGCGGCTAAAGGTCTAGTGTTAGTTCTAGTTTTACACTAGCACTATCACTAGAACTAACATTTGACCTGGAACTAGAAATATTTGGGTTTAGCCGCACGTCTCTAAAGACGGCTAAACCCGAATGATTCTAGTTCTAGGTCTAGTGTTGGTTCTAGTTTTACACTGGTACACTGTTGCTATATAGAACTAACACTATACCTAGAACTAGAATCATTCGGGTTTAGCAGTCTTGAGTGACGTGCGGCTAAATCCGAATGTTTCTAGTTCTAGGTCTAGTGTTAGTTCTAGTTTTACACTAGCACTA